CAAAGAAGAGTTGATGCTTGTGAGCTATGGTTTTGGTGAAGAATATTGAAAGTACGGTGGACTGCCAGAAGAACTAACAAGTTTGTCCTGGAGGAAGTGCAGCCAGAATGCTCCTTGGAAACGAGAATGGCCAGACTTCGTCTCATCTACTTTGGCCATGTTGTCAGAAGGATCCATCCACTGGAGAAGAATATCATACTTGGTAAAGTGGGGGGTCAACAAACAAGGGGAAGGCCCTCAACGAGATGGATTGACACAGTGGCGGCAACGATGGGGTCAGGTATAGCAAGGATTGTGAAGCTAGTGCATGACTGGGCAGTGTTTCATTCTATTGTACATAGGGTTGCTATGAGTTGGAGCTGATTCGACGGCACCTGACAACATCAAGCTTGTTATAAAATCTGTTGCTATGAAGTAGAGCTTCTTGTTAGGATTTTCTGGGCTGTAATCTTCATGGAAACAGATTGCCAGGACTTTCTGCCATGGACCAACTGGTGGGTAAGAAGCCAAGCTTAAGCACTGCATCACCAGGGCTCCTTTGAACTCCGTTATAGTAAACATATATTGTAGTTCTACATTTCTCAGAAAAGAAATAATAAACCATTTTCTCCCCAAGGCTAAAATTGACATATGCCCATTGTTGAAAATGTAGAAAAGTATAAAGAAGAAACCAACAATCACAACAGTTAACATTTGAGCATGTTTCCTTTCAAGACGTTTTCACACAGTTGAATTCAGACTGTATATGATTTTGTTTCCTGCCTTTCCCTCTTAAAATAAAAACATAAGCATTTTCCCTCATCATGATATTTGAATGGCTGCACCATATGCCATTTTATGGTTTTGTTACAATTAAAGTAGATCGATTAATTTGCTACTTCATTAAAGTGGAACACTTAAGCTATTTCTAGTCTTACTACATTAAACATGATTCTCTGATAAGCATCTTAGTATGAAATCATTAGACAATGATTTCCACATTTCCAAGGATTACTTTCAGATGGATTCCTACAAGTGTAATTATTGGGTCAAGGAGTAGATTTCAAGAAGTGGGATTAATGGATAGGAGATATTTTTATAGATAACCAATGGCTATATCACTTTTTACTCCCCCCTCCCAACAGTACATGGGCATCTTATCACCCTTTGCCAGCACTGTATGCTATACTATGTTGTCTTTCATCTTTCCCACTCTAATACATGAAAGTGGTATCTTGATTTGCTTTGTTTCTATTACTGGTGAGACTGGACATTTTCCATAGGTTTACTTGCCATTTCTAATCCCATGTTTTGTTAACCACCTATTCCTATTTTTGCCCATTTATTGATTAGACTCTTATGAACTTTCTTATCAATTAAAAAGGTATCTTAAAGGATCCTTTGTCATATTAGTTGCAAATGAAAATATTTTTTCACAAGTTTTTTTTTTTTT